TTAGAAATTTTTAAAAAGGTTATCTAAATCAGAAAGATGTCTCTATTTGCAGATGGCATATTATATATAGTAAACCCAAAAAATCCTGCCAAAAACTGTTAGAATTAATAAATAAACTCAGTAAAGTTGCATGACACAAAATCAGTATGCAAAAGTAAGTTGCATATTTATACACTAACAGTGAATTATCAGAAAGAAAGATTATATAATCCCTTTTACGTCATAAAGTAAAATATTTAGGAATAAATTCAACAAAGGTGAAAGATCTATCCACTGAAAACTATAAAATATTGATGAAAGTAGTTGAAGTAGGAAAGATAATCTATTTTTTTGGATTGCAAGAATTAATACTGTTGAGGGGCGCCTGGGTGGCTTAGTCGGTTAAGCGTCCGACTTTCGCTTAGGTCATGATCTCGCGGTTCGTGGGTTCGAGCCCCACGTCGGGCTCTGTGCTGACTGCCAGCTCAGAGCCTGGAGCCTGTTTCAGTCTGTGACTCCCTCTCTTTCTGACCCTCCCCTGCTCACTCTCTCTCTCTCCTAGAAATAAAATAAAACATTAAAAAAAAATTAAAAAAAAAAAAGAATACTGTTGAAAGCAAAATAAGGCAGTCAGAGACAGATATATGATTTCACTTATATGTGGAATTTGAGAAACTTAACAGATGACCATATGAGAAGGGAAGCAAAAAAATACAAATAGAGAGGGAGACTAACCAGAAGAGACTCTTAAATATAGGGAACAAACAGGGTTGATGGCAGTGGGAGGTTGGGAGGGTGGGGAAAATGGGTGATTGGTATAGGAGGGCACTTGTTGGGATGAGCCCTGGGTATTGTATGTAAGTGATGAATCATGGGAATCTACTCCTGAAGCCAAGACTACAGTATGTTACCTAACTTGACAATAAAATAATAATAATAATAATGGAAACCCAAATCTACAAAAAGATGAATTAATAATATTGAAATGTTCTTAGTAGTCAAAACAATTTACAGATTCAGGACAGTTCCTTTCAGAATCCTAATTTTTGGGGTGCCTGGAAGGCTCAGTCAATGGAGTGTGCAACTCTTGGTCTCAGGTTTGTAAGTTTGAGCCCCTCATTGGGTATAGAGACTACTTAAAAATAAAATGTTAAAATATTTTTTCAAAATCCTAAGTCATTTTTCATATTTCTAAGAAGAAATAAACCATTTTTATATTCATGTGGAACCACAAAAGACCTGGAATAGCCAAACCAGTCTTGAGAAAGAAGAATAAATCTGGAGGCATCATACTTCTTAATTTCAAACTATATTATAAGGCTTTAGTAATTGAAATAGTATGGTACTAGCATAAAAACAGACAGATCAGAGACACATAGACACATAGTCCAGAAATAAACCCATACATGTGTGGTCAGTTATTTTTTAACAAAGGGGGCAAGAATATGCAATGGGGGAAAGGATAGTGTTTTCAATAAATGGTTCTCGGAAAACTGGATATTCATATGCAGAAGAATAAAACTAGACCCCTAACATACACCATGCACAAAAACAACTCAAAATGGAATAATTAAGTGTAATAGTTGAAACCCTAAAACTTCTAGAACAAAACAGAGAATGATTCTTCACATAGATCTTGGCAGTGGTTTTTTTGATTTGACACCAAATGCAAAGGCAACACAAGCCAAAATAATATAGGGCTACATCAGAATAAAAAGCAGCATAGTAAAATAAACCATCAACAATACGAAAAAGCAACTTATGAAATGGGAGAAGGTATTTACAAACCACACATCCAATATTAGCTTAATATCCAAACTATTTAAGGAAGTCATACGATTCAATAGCAGAAAAAGAGTAATCCAATTTTAAATATGTGCAAAGGACCCAAATAGACATTTTTCCAAAGAAGACATGCAAATGGCTGAGAGGTACATGAGAAGGTGCTTAACATCACTCATCAGAGAAATGCAAATATATACCACAGTGATAGATCATCTCACATCTGTTGGGATGTCAAAAAGACAAGAGATGACATGCTGGCAAGGATGTGGGTGAAAGGGAACTCTTGTGTACTGTTGGTGTGAATGTAGATTGGTACAGACACAGTGGAAAATAGTATGGAGATTCCTCAAGAAATTAAAAATAAAACTACCATATCATCCAGCAGTGCACTTGCTGCATATATAGTCAAAGGAAATGGTGTCATCTTGAAGAGATGTCTGTACTCTTATGTATATCACAGTATTGTTTACAAGTATGGAAAATACCTAAGTGTCTTTCAGTGGGTAAATGGATAAAGAAGTGTCTATATAGAGAGATAGACATATATAGTGGAATATTATTGAGCCATAAAAAAGAAGGAAATCCTGCTATTTGTGCAACTAGGATGAACCTGAAGGGCATGATACTAAAGTGAAATGAGCCAGACAGAGAACTACATTGTAGCACTTAATGTGTAATATTGGAGAGGGGGGAGTCAAACAGAGTAGAATGGTCCTTGCCAGGGACTGTGAGTAGTGGTAGGGGAAAGATAGCTGCTGGTAAAAAGGGTACAAACTTTCAGTTATAAGATGAGTAAGGTCTGTGGATCTCATGTATATAATGTGACCATGTTTGATAATACTATATAGTGTAATTGAGATTTGCTAAGAGAGTAGAAATTAAGTGTTCTCCCCACACAGACACAAAATAGTAACTGTAAGGTGGGCATGCTCATTAATTTAAGGGTGGGAATTCTTTCAAAATGTGTACATATATCAGATCATATTGTATACTTTAAATATATAACATCTGTTAAATATACTTCAATAAAGCTAAAAAAAAACCCTCAGTATTTAGGATTAAACTATTTTTAGTTTGGCTTTCATTTTATAAAGTAATTGGAAAAATCAAGTTTGATTCTTTCTTAAAATCTAAAAACATATAGAAGCACCTGGTTGGCTTAGTCATATGAGCATCTGACTCTTGATTTCAGCTCAGGTCATGATCCTGGGGTCATGGGACTGAGCCCCATGTTGGGCTCTATGCTGAGTGTGGAGCCTGCTTGACATTCTCTTTCCCTCTGCCCCTTTCCCCTACTCATGTGTTCTCTCTCTCTCTCAATATTAAAAAAAAAAAATGGGGTGCCTGAATAGCTCAGTTGGTTGCGTGTTTGACTTCAGCTCAGGTCACGATCTCATACTTCATGGGTTCAAGCCCACTGTTGGGCTCTGCTTACAGCTCAGAGCCTAGAGCCTGCTTCAGAATCTGAATCTGATTCTGTCTCCCTCTCTCTCTGCCTCTCCCCCTCTTGTGCTCTGTCTGTCTCAAAAATAAATGGGGGGGGGGAGGGAAGAAATAGAAAAACAGGTATTTAAAAAATAAAATTAAAAATTAAATAATTAAAAAATAACATAGATATTTTCAGGTAAAAATTTAGGGTCTTAGTTTTCAAGTTAGTTCATAAAAGGAAATGCTAATTGGGGTGCCTGCCTGGCTCAGTCTGAAGAACATGTGATTCTTGGTCTCAGGGTCATGAGTTTGAGCCTCACCTTAGGATTAGAGATTACTTAATTTTTAAAATTTTATTTTATTTTACTTTAAGTAAGCTCTACATGCTACATGGGACTTGAACTCAATATTGAGATCAAGAATTACATGCTCCAACTGAGCCAGCCAGGTACCCCAGAGCTTCCTTACTTACATGCATACATGCATACATAAAAACTGTTTTAAAAAGGAGAGTGGCTTAGTCGGTTAAGCATTGAACTCTTGATTTCGGCTCAGGTCATGATCTCACAGTTCATGGGATTGAGCCCCACACTGGGCTCTATGTTGACAAAACGGAGCCTGCTTAGGATTCCCTCGCCTCTCTTTTTGCCTCTCCCCTCTCGTGTTCTCTCTCAAAATAAATAAACTTTTTTTTAAAAACTTTAGAAAAAAGGAAAGGCCAATTAAATTTGATATAATTGTTATATAGACTGTAATGTAAGTCTGGTATATTCTAATAGTGAAAGATAATTAACACTTTTTAAAAAGAAAATGAAAACAATTGTTTTTTTCCTCATAGTATGGTTTAGGTCTTTTATTTCCTATTTTTAAGTAATCTCAACTCCCACTGTGGGGCTGGAACTCACAACCCCAAGATCAAGGGTCCTATGCTCTACCAGCTGAATCAGCCAGTTTAGATCTTTTAACACTTGTGTGTTTTGTTTTGTTTTGTTTTGTTTTGTTTTGTTTTGTTTTAAGAGAGAGAACAGAGGCAGGGCAGAGAGAGAGGGAGAGAGAGAATCCCAGGCAGGCTCCACACTCAGTCTCCTAAACTTGAGATCATAACCTGAGCCTAAATCAAGAGTCAGGGGTTTTAACTGCGTGAACCAGGCAGGATTCCCAGGAAATACATTTGAATTGTAGAGGCATTGTAAGATGCTTCATGTCTTGATGAGATGGTCTCATGTCACAAATGTTTTGAACGCTCTTAAATTTAAATAATTCATTACGTGGTTTTTTGTGATTTAGCCTTATATATATATTTTTTTTTAATATTTTTATTTATTTCTAAGAGAGAGAGAGAGAGAGACGGCGTGAGCAGGGGAGGGTCAGAGAGAGAGGGAGTCACAGACTGAAACAGGCTCCAGGCTCTGAGCTGGCAGTCAGCACAGAGCCCAATGTGGGGCTCGAACCCACGAAACGCAAGATCATGACCTAAGCGAAAGTCGGACGCTCAACCGACTAAGCCACCCAGGCGCCCCTAGCCTTATATATTTTAGAATGATGTACACCCAGTTACACTTTCATCCCTTGCTGGCTCCAGAGAAATGTATTTTGTATCTATTGTTTAGAAATAATAAATTAAGCAGAAAAAGACTAAATATATGTTTAATGGTTTGAGAACATGATGGTGAAATGAAATACAATTTTGACAGCAGTTTTTATTTTTAGTCCTTTTCAGACTTTATTAGATACCTATGTTTGTATAGTGTAAATATATAAAATGCCAGTGGAGCTCTGTTTTGATCTGCCCCAAATTTTCTTTTTAGATTTGATCCAGACCGGTTTGATGATGAATCGGTAATGAAAACTTTCTCCTTGCTTGGATTCTCAGGCACACAGGAATGTCCAGAGTTGAGGTGAGTGATAGGGAAAGGAAACTAAAAAGAAAGATGCCAGAGTTTATACTTAGAATTTTGATGATCACCGCTGATGAGAATGAGCAACCTATGTAATTAAAGTGTGTAATTGTTTATCTTTAGTAACCAATCGGCTTTCTCCCTGACTAGGTTTGCATATATGGTGACCACAGTACTTCTGAGTGTATTGGTGAGAAGGCTGCACCTACTTTCTGTGGAGGGACAAGTTATTGAAACTAAGTATGAACTGGTAACATCATCCAAGGAAGAAGCTTGGATCACTGTCTCAAAGAGATATTAAAATTTTATACATTCAACTTTCTTGAGGAAAATGACGGTTTAGAAAAAGTGTATTAAATCCTTTTACATACCAAGTAATACTGTGGAATATAAATAACCTACTGGTACTTCGTTATGTAAATTTGGATTTTTGTATATCAGATTTTCTTAATTCATGATATACATTGATACTTATTGTATATAATAATAATTTTAATGGGAAGCTCTCTGCTTTTCATTTTTGTTTTATCACTTTCTATGCCATTCTTCATATTATTTTTCTTAGTTTGGTCTCTAATGTTCTTGTTTTAAATTTCTAATATTGAAGAGAGACATTATTTTTGCGCACTTTGGCAAATCATGTTTTCTGAATATTTATAAAAGGGAAACATAATCCTAACTTTTTTTCATACTTCCAATAAATCACTTTAAAGGGGGAAAACAAGAACTTTCCATAATTTTATTTCTTGCATTAAGATTTTTATTTTCTGAGGGGCGCCTGGGTGGCTCAGTTGGTTGAGCATCCGACTTAGGCTCAGGTCATGATCTCACAGTCTGTGGATTCGAGCCCTGCATCGGGCTTTGTGCTGACAGCTCAGAGCCTGAAGCCTGCTTCGGATTCTATGTCTCCCTCTCTCTCTGCCCCTCCCCTGCTCATGCTCTGTCTCTCTGTCTCTCAAAAATAAATGGAAAAAACCTTAAAAATTAAAAAAAAAAAAGGCTTTTATTTTCTGAGTATAAATTAGTTTGTGTTTAATCATTGTTACTGGTTTGAGTAACCTACCTTGTATTTGCGTATTTTTATGCCTCCCCAGACAATAGTGTTCATTTCATGACTTATACAAGACTCATCATTTTGAATAGTTCTAAATCACTTGGAAACTACTACAGTTGTTTGTGAATATGTTTTTGAAGTACCTATTCTAAGGGACAAACTAAGATTGAGGCTTGTCTTTCCTTCTTGTTTGCCTGGAAGTCTTAGTAGCCCTTTATTAGTTCACCAATTCTCATTTGTGGAAACAACTGAATTCCTACTTTATTGTTATTATGTCATGTACTAAATATAATGAGTTTCAATGATTAAGAAACAAGAGTACTAACCAAAAACCAAAACCAAATTAAAAAAAAAAAAAAACACGGATGAAAATATTTGCAAAACATCTGATGGGATAATAGCCATGTGTATATAAACAGCTCATACAGATTGGTAAGAAAACATAATAGATAAATGGTTAAAAGACATGAATAAACCATTTTTAGAGGAGGAAATAGCTATCAAACTTTGAGATAAAAGGGTCATCTCACTAGTAAGTAAAGGAATTTTCGGGCTATTTAAAAACACTTTAAGTATCTTTCAGAATTTACACTTAATACTGATAAGTTCTATATTTAATACTTTTTATTGATAGCATTGTAGTTTAGTTCACTTTTTCTGGTTACATTGTTCTTGAGGAGAATTTTTTTAAGACAACTGAAGGAAATATGGCAAGTGGAGATAGAGAGGAAAGGAAGAAAAATGATAACTGTTTGCAAATGGGTTTATTTTTGACACTGCTGAATTCCACTTGTAATTTTAATTTCAAGATTGTACCCTAGTTATTGAGTTATTTTATGCTGTGTTTATGGTCAGATTGCCAACATTTTAGAACTAGTTAGGAGTGGTTAAGATAGACTTTAAGTAATTAGATGCAGCTTTTATTTCTGCCAAAAATAATTAATTTGTGGAATATTTTAAATTCTAAAACTTTAAGTGAAATGTATTCTTAGTTTTAGCATCATGTTGTTTCCAAAAGGGTACACTGTAAGTTCTACCTATCATTTTCTATGGTTTTGTGTGTATGGATATTTTCCTTGGTTATCCCAGTACCTTAATTGGTTTGGAAACTGTCAGTGGAAAGTTAGAGTAGACAATTGATATGTAAACCAAGTGTCTGTAAAATCAGTTGAGATAAGTGGTATTTTAAAGCAAGTGAGACCTGGGGCGCCTGGGTGGCTTAGTCGGTTAAGCGTCCGACTTTCGCTTAGGTCAGGATCTCGCGGTTCGTGGGTTCGAGCCCCGCGTCGGGCTCTGTGCTGACAGCTAGCTCAGAGCCTGGAGCCTGTTTCAGTCTGTGACTCCCTCTCCCTCTGACCCTCCCCTGCTCACGCTGTCTCTCTCTCTATCTCTCTCTCTCTCTCCTAGAAATAAATAAAAAATATTTAAAAAAAAAAAAGTTAATAAAGCAAGTGAGACCTGATCAAGGCAAAAACAGTAGCTAAGCCAGAGGGGCAAGGAATTGCCATATTGTGAACATACGAGCCAATGTATAATTACTAATACTGATTTGAATCAATGAAAATAAAAGAATCAGCTAAATAAGCACATTTTTATCCATGGTTATATGACTGACTTATTACAAATAAAGTATCTTCTAGAGGATTTTTAAAAAATAAAAATATTGTTAAATCATGTATCAAATAAGTTATCCATTCATTATTGTTCCTATTTGACCCTTTGTATTTCTCAAAAGACTGAAATTGTATTAGCTTCAGGGTTACCAATGGCTGGTAGCATGACTGTAAGCAGGACTCTTAAATTTTGTAGCTTTTTAGTTTTTTAAAAATTGGGGCCCCTGGGTGGCTCAGTCGGTAAAGCGTCCAACTTCATGGTTTGTGGGTTCGAGCCCTGCGTTGGACTCTGTGCTGACAGCCAGGTCAGAGCCTAGAGCCTGTTTCAGATTCTGTGTCTCCCTCTCTCTGACCCTCCCCTGCTCACATACTCTCTCTCTCAGAAATAAATAAAACATTAAAAAAATTTGTAAAAAAAATTATTTCTTACATGATTTTGATCTGCATTCTTTTGGAATGTTGATAAGTTTAATGTTAAAAACGCCAGCACAACACACATTTTTATGGAAAGAAAAGGCTCTCACACACTTCGTGCTAATAAATTCAAGGCAGAATTAATTCTGTGCATGTGTTTGGGAAAAACGAAAACCTCACATACTGTTATATCTGGCCCACAAATGTGCAGTTCCATTTTTTTTTATATAAGTAGATTCTATCTTATTTATAGACCCTATGTAAAAATGTGTTTGTCTTCTTAAAATAGTTTATATTTTAAAAACAAAATGTTCTGTTTTTGTTATGAAAATTATATAAGTTTACTGTAGAAAAATCTTGGAAATACGGAAACAAAAATAGAAAACTCCATTACCGGGGCGCCTGGGTGGCTTAGTTGGTTAAGCGTCCGACTTTCGCTTAGGTCATGATCTCACTGTTCGTGGGTTCGAGCCCCACGTCGGGCTCTGTGCTGACTGCCAGCTCAGAACCTGGAGCCTGTTTCAGTCTGTGACTCCCTCTCTCTCTGACCCTCCCCTGCTCACGCTCTCTCTCTCTCTAGAAATAAATAAAAAAAACCTTAAAAAAAAAAGAAAACTCCATTACCTATATGGTGCCACTACTTGAAGTAAGCCAGTATTAAGCTTCTGAGGTAGATGCTTCTACTCTTTTGTATCCACATATACTTTTTACAGACCTATTATACATCATGTTCTCTTCGTGTAATATATTATGAACCAGTAGTGTTTTCTACAACTGGAACATTCATATTTCTTCTCACTCGGAATGTAAGCACAGATATTTGTTATTCTTTTTCTCTCCTCTTTCTCTTTGCAGGCACTGTTACTCTTTTCAATTTTAAAAATGGCTTTACTTCCTCATTCATTTATCAGAACAGTAATTTATATATTTCTACATCTGAGTTGGTAGAGTCCTAGAATAGTCTAGGTGTTACAAGGAGCATTGAAAACATGAAATTACTCTTTTATCCGAAGAAAAATATAATTAAATTCAGGTCAAGGTGGCATTTCAATGTTTATTCATTTTTGAGAGAGAGAGAGAGTGCCAGCAGGGGAGGGGCAGAGAGAGAGGAAGACACAGAATCCTAAGCAGGCTCTAGCCTCTGAGCTGTCAGCACAGAGCCTGATGCGGGGCTTGAACCCACAAACTATGAGATTATGATCTGAGCCAATGTTGGACACTTAGCCAGCTGAGCCACCCAGCCACTCTGGCATTTCAGCTTTTAAGAGGACATTTTACAAATCTTTGTTGTTTTGGACTCAGGCAAACAGACTGATTCTTCCCTTGAAGCCATCTTTACTTTTTTTCTCCAGATCCATGAAAAGTGCTGTTTACCTATAAAGTGTACTTTTTCCATATGTGGTTATGTTGACAGGTTGAAAACTGCTTAAACACAATTCTGTCGAGTGTGTGAAACTGAGGACAGGACCAGTAAACATCAGAGAGTAAGTTTAGTAGCTGTGAGAGAAAGAGATACTATTTTCAGGGGCAGGTTTGTATATTATCAACAAATTGATACGAGTGACTTTATTTTTCTTCTTGGCTGTTTCCTAAATTACTAAGACAAACGATTAAGATAGAAGGGGAGGATGAAGAGAGGGGAGTATGATGACAAAGCAGTTACTGTTACACAGGAGTCAGAGGAAATCAGCACAGCCAAAACGGCTTCATACAGGGTTGCTTTGAGGCACGTGAGTGACCTCCACTGATAAAATGAGTGAGACCGAAACTCACAGCAAGAGTTAAGCTGAAAGTAGAAAAAGAGTGTAGGGAGCATTTGTTATAAACTAAATACTTTATACACCTATCTCATTTAGTCCTTTAGAGCATGACAGTAGGTTCTGTGACAAACTAAAATAGGTTTTCATTCCTGTTAGAAGAAATACTATAAATGAATACTGGCATATACTTGCCAAGAAATATAAAAAGATCTAAATTTCAAAAAAATTTTAAATTTTTTTTTATTTATTTCTGAGAGAGAGAGACAGCGTGAGCAGGGGAGGGTCAGAGAGAGGGAGATACAGAATCTGAAGCAGGCTCCAGGCTCTGAGCTGGCTGTCAACACAAGAGCCCCATGCGGGGCTTGAACCCACAAACTGTGTGAAAAAGATCTAAATTTCAAATTGTCTTCATATCTTCAGGGGGGGTCATTGGTATATCTTGTTAAGAGGGAATCAAGCAATAGTTTCAAATGATAACAGTGTTCATAATAGCCAAAGAAAATAACTAAAAAAAAATATTTAATACTGTAACAGCAGTATTAAAAGATATCCTAAAGAAAACTAATGCTGCCAACTCAACCATCATCTGTAAAACTGTTTAAATTTTTTCCTATGTAGACATACATATGTTTGTAAACATGTCAATCATAATACAGTTAGCTTTTCATTTAATACATTTTAAACATTTTCCTTTGTTTTATAAGGGCTTTGGGGAATGGATGTTGGGAGGTGGGTTGGAGAATAGACTTAAAATCTGTAAATCAAACACTAAATTTATTTCAGTGACACGGAGTGAATGGATAATTACAAAATTGAAGTTGGGAGCCATTTTGTAAAACATTCAGGCAATAAACAAAAGGGCAGGAAATGACATTCCTCTTCCAGTTACACTTCCTGTTTAGTCAGTTTATAGTGTGGTGGCTTTCTAGAGACTGGGAATGGATCTTATTTTAGCATGT